GCTTCAGGGTTCCAGGGTTTAGGGTTTAGGGTCTTAGTTCGTTTCTTCGAGCGGCTTTGCTAGTCTCCCTTCTCTGTCATCCCACATTTGCACCTCGAGATAGTCTAAGGGCCTAAATAATTGCCAATACTGTTTTGGGGTTCTTGACTAGACCTGTGGTATACTCGACCCGACAGTACCGTATTTCCTAGCTATTAAGACACCCCTCCCTAAACCCTAAACCCTAAACCCTAAACCCTAAACCCTAAACCCTAAACCCTAAACCCTAAAACCCTAAACCCTGAACCCTAAAACCCTAAATCCTGAACCCTAAAGCTGATGAATATTCATGACTTTCCAGCCCGAAACCCTAAACCGCTCTGCAGGGAAGGTCTGGGCCAAGGAGACGGTCTCCGGAGGCCGAAACGAGCACATACTGTTGATGATGAGATATATATATATATACACACACATACATATACCTATATATATATATATATATATATATATATCAAGGACCCTAAACTAATGGAATTAGGGTATATTCCTGATTATGGGTAATGCAGGATTGATATCATCAGCCGTATACCTTAGTTTAGGGTTTAGGGTTTGGATCGTACAGGATAGCAGAGCCTCGTTCCGTACAGCATGGTATGTCTTTGTATAGCCTAGACTAAAGTCGCAGCACCGGGTCCACCAGACGTGCTTCCAACCACAGTCACAGGTAGCATGCATCAGGACCTAAAGCCACCGGCCCACCTCAACCCCCAGTTCCAAGAGCCGTTTCCAGCGGTTTAGGGTCTAGGGCAACTGGGTCCACGCTTGCGGGCAAAGAGATGCTAAAACGTGCCTCCGTAGGCATATCATGGGCGTTGACTGCGAGGGGCAAGCATCGAGAGCGCAGCTCCTTGGCAACAGTGGAGCCAAGCTTAAATGTACCAAGAGATTGAGACTCCCAGGTGCAGCTTTAGAGTGTTTCGGTTCTTACTATACTATGGAGACCCGAGTCCCTAAACCCTTGAATCCTAATATGTACTACACTAAGGAAACCCTGATCCCTAAACCCTTTAATCCCAATATGCTCTCTACCATGGAAACCCCAATCCCTTAACCCTTTAATCCTAACATGCTCTATACTATGGAAACCCCAAGCCCTGAACGCCTAAGCCCATTTATCCCAATATGTTGGGGGTTAGGAAGCTCTGTGTCCAAAAAGCCCCAGGGTCCGAACTCCACAATCCCCCCTAAAGCCTAAACCCTACAAAGCCCCAGGGAGCCTGAATCCGAAACCCTCCAAAACCCTAAACCCCACAAAAGCCCTAGGATCCGAAATCCAAAACCACCCTGAACCCTAAACCTTCTGGGGGCTGCGCCAAGGGAGCCGCTTTCGGAGGGACGTAGTCGCTGTGGCCCCGTCGGGTGATCCAGGGCCTGCGCCTCAAAAGCTCATGGGATTTAGGCTTAGGGCCCCTTCAAAGGCTCCTTTGAGGGATCCTTTAAGGGATTGGGGGTTTAGGGCTCCAGCGTTTCAGGGTTTAGGGCTTCTGCAGGGTTTAGGGGTTTAGGGATTCTAAGTGCCACGAAGCCAAGAGGCTTCTTTAAAGAAGCGGCCTTCTTCGGATTTAGGGTTTATGCGGTATAGGGTTAAGGGCTTTAGGGCTTCAGGGTGATTCGGGGGGGGGGGGCTTTGGTTTGAAGTGTGAACCTTGTCAAGCCCTAAACCCTAAACCCTAAACCCTAAAACCCTAAACCCTAAAACCCTAAACCCTAAACCCTAAAACCCTAAAACCCTAAACCAAGCGTGACGGGGTTGCATAGCAGCCTCAGAGCCCCAAACACTAAACCCTGGGTCGGCTTGAGCCGAGTACCCTTTCAAGAAGGGCCTCTTTTTGGAAGTTTCGGATGTTGGAGATGTTGGAGTTTGGGTCCTGGAGTCTTGGGGTTTAGGGTTTAAGGGCTTTCAGGGTTTATCGGGGTAGGGTTTATAGGTTTCAGGGTTTGGGTTTTTCCATTTAAGGGCTTTGTTTTGCTTGGTTGGGGTTTCGAAGGGCTTGCTGCGGCCTTCTGAAAGTGTTTCAAAACAAGCGTCCGAGTTAAACAAACATATTTGCAATCTCTGGGCAAGCTGCTGGGTTATGAGTCTTTTCGCTCTAACCTAGGGGCCTTAATAATTCGAATTCGGTTTAGGGTTTAGGGTTTAGGGTTTAGGGGCCTTAATAATTAGAACAGGGTTTAAGGTTTAGGGCCTTCATAATTAGAATAGGGTTTAGGGTTTAGGGTTCACGGGCCTTAATGGTTAGAATTGGGTTTTGGGATCCTTAATAGTATCACTAGAGTAAGGCACCCTAAGGAATAACATTGGCAATGCTTTACAGTAGAAGCCAGAAAGTTGGAACATCGTTATCCTCATGCCCTCAAAGAAAGTAGAAAGGATTGTAACCCTAAACCCTAAATGGGGTTTGCCGTAGGCTTCTACAGTAGGGCGCCAAGTTTTTCGGGCTCCCGAAGTTGTACGGTCTCATCCCGTGCTTTTGGGGTTTAGGACTTTGGGGGGAAGTTTAGGGTTCAGGGGTTACACTTCGGCTTCCAATTCGCAAAACTTTCCAAACGGTGCCGCAGACCCTTGCAGCCGGCCGCATCTTCAATACATAATTATTAAACGCCTCGGGGCTGCATTACTATTATTGGTATTAGTACTATTTTTATGTTTAAGGTTAAGAACAAACGCAAGGCTTCCAGAGAACCCGTAACCTCAAAATCTTCAAAATCAAGCGTCTGAGCCTAGACCGCGAACCCTACTTCAACGTCTTCGCACTCGTTGACCCTCAACCCTGAACCCCTACGGTGAAACCTAAACCTCAAACTTCCTGCAAGGCGCCAGATCTGCATCGTGGGGGCAGAAGTCCCAACCTAGACGAATCAGTGGTGGTCGGGTTTACAGGTTCTGGAAAAGACCTTTTGTTAAGTTACCATATTACTTGTCATTTACTAACCCCTATTGTCCCTATTGTGGTAACCTAAAACTCATTCCCTAAACCCTAAACCC